CAGCGGGGTACACGGGCTGAGAGACCCACCGAGGCCACCAGCGGGGGACACCGTTTGCCACAGCCACCGGGCCACCCGCGGGGGACAAAGCTTCAAGGTTTGCCACAACCACCAGGCCAGCAGCGGGTTAGGCGGGTTGCTGGGCAGCGGGAAGGGTCCCCCTGTCCCCGGGCAGTGTCACCGCAGGCAGCGGAGCCTCCCCGCAGCCCCCGCGTCCCTCACCTGCGCTCAGGTGTGCGCGGGCACACGCGGGGCTCGAAGCCCATCTGGTCCTGCCGGTTTCCAGGTGCAAACTCTGCTCGTGGATTTATTTATTAATTTATTGCACGGCACAGGAAGATGGATCCGTGATCATGACCTTTTTTTTCTGTTCAGAGCTTTTCTGATTTCGGTATTCGCTGATTGTTCCTGCACTTGGCACCGTTTCACTGCTTCAAACTCACTCCTGCAGCACTTGGGAAAACCTGTGCGCAGTCACTGGTTCGTCCAAACGTTGGAGACCATGAATTACTGACCTTCAGATGCAGCCAATCTAATTACACTGATAGCAGACAGGGCTGGGATGGACTGGGATCATGTTATTCCGGTCCTGGAATAACAGATTTTATTCTCTCCCTCCTCAGGACCATGGCTGCCATTGACGAGCGTACCTTCATTGCCATCAAGCCCGACGGGGTCCAGAGGGGGCTGGTGGGGGAGATCATCAAACGCTTTGAGAGGAAAGGATTCAAACTGGTAGCCATGAAGTTAATACATGTAAGCTCTCCTCAACTGCTGTGCCTGTTTTTTAATATCATCTGTAGCCTTCAAATAGAGCAGCATGCTATAACAACAAATGTGGCATCTGTAACATTTAAAACTGAAATTTTGAGAAGTTGTACTTGCGATGTTTTTGGAAAAGTTCCAACTCCCAGCTCTGGCTAACTGCTTTAGACGTGCTAAGCATACTAATTTTAGTAACCTGATGCCCTTAGTCTGAAGAGAATATTCTTTCAGGTGCACTCTATGCCTAATAAATATCTCTGAGTATCTTTCACAAACCCCAGGTCACATAAACTGCCTGTATTTGCAACAGAAACATTTCTAAGTTTAGTTGTGGTTAAACCAAACAGTTCCAATTCATATCGACCAAAAATTCTCCTAGGAAGGTGCTAGAAATACTGAATTTTGAAGTGCGTGCAAGTTTCAGGATTACCAGAGCCCTGTGGTTAATCTCTGTGATTTCAGTATGCTCTTAAGTTCTTACTGTAAGCTTTTTTCTCTGTCTGGTTTTTAACCCAGGCCTCTGAGGACCTTCTGAGGGAGCACTACATCGACCTCAAGGACCGGCCGTTCTATGATGGCCTGGTGCAGTACATGCACTCGGGACCTATTGTAGCCATGGTGAGTTCCTGGCAAGGAAAACCACACTGCTTGATTGTCTTCCCTGTGATGAGATTGTGTCAACTGTTGAATTCTAGTTTATTTTTAAAAGGATTTAAAAATCTGGATTCAAATAATGTAATTAGGAAAATGTGCTGTTAACTCTTTTTCTTTAATTTTTTCTCATAATCGTACTCTCCTTTGAGTCAATTTGTTGAGGAAGAGGGGAGGGGCAAAAGGGAATCAAAACCAGGATCCTGAGAAATGGAAAACCCCACTCTGAAATGCCACGTAGTAAGCAAGTTGCAAAAGGATGGTGGAATATTTTAACTCTATTTCTCTTTTTCTCCTTGATAATGTATTTGTGAAATAGTTGAGGTCTAGCTTTCTCATGAGCAGACAGCTGTGTGAGACTGACATAGTGAGATGGAAAATTGTTCTCTCCCCTCCCTGGGTGAGGAAGGGGATTGTACAGAATCTGACAAAAAACTTGGAGATAAAATATGCCTAGCTGTGACAAATATTCAGATGTTGATTTGTGCCATGATGGACAGCCCTGTGTTCTTGTGGATGGTATAATTTATCTGCTGCAAAAATTTAATAACCTGAATGGATTTTTTTTATTCCTTAAGGTGTGGGAAGGTCTTAATGTGATTAAGACTGGAAGAGTAATGCTGGGCGAAACCAATCCATTTGATTCCAAGCCTGGCACTATTCGTGGGGACTTCTGTGTCCAAGTTGGAAGGTAAATTTTAAAACTTTTGGTATCGTCCAAAGGTACTAAATGCCAAGTGTTATGTCATGATACCTGCAGGAACTGTGTTCCATCCTTCTCTGTCTTACACACAGAGCTGCCATTCCCTGTGCCCATGTCGTATTAGGATCTAAGGATGGGGATCAAGTCATGGTTGTCCCCATTGGCAAAAATGAGGAGTAAAGCTGGCACTGCCTATGCTGCATCTTTTCCTATTTTACTGTTAGTTAAAGCTCCTGTCCATAACAGGAACAACTTCAAAACAAGAAGCTTACTTTAATTTAAGAATTCTCTTACTCTTTTATTCACCTTTTCTTTTCCTAGGAACATCATTCATGGCAGTGACTCTGTGGAAAGTGCTGAGACTGAGATAAATTTATGGTTCACTCCTGAAGAACTGGTTGATTACAGAAGCTGTGCTCATGAGTGGATATATGATTAAAACCCACACTGAATCTTCTGATATCCCCATGTCCATGAGCAGCTGCCAGCCTCTAGCTATTCCAAAGAATTCCCTGGTAGAAACCTCAGAAAACAGTGAGATTGCTCTGTTGTGGATGTTAAATAGTCAGTGCTTGCTGCTCCTTTGATTTAAAAGATGTCAAGTTATAGATGGAATTGCACTTTTAAAAGCTGTTTCTGGGATTGAGAGATAGGAGGTGAAAACACAAAGCAGATAATAGACATATTTTTCTGAAGCACTTTATAGTCATAAAGAATATTTTGGTAAACATAAAAACAAACGGATAAATTATTTTTTGGTAAATAAATATGCAAATGGCTCAGAGTCAGAGGTTAACTTTGCTAAAATATTAGAGGGCAACTGATGGTGTATAAATGCTTTGATAATATGCCCAAAATGCTGAGCATTTACTTAATATCAAGTCAAGTGTGTCCCCATTCCTAAAACAGCTGCAGAAAAAAGCCCATTTCTCTCCCCAGAACATGCTGTGACCATAGAGAGCTCAGCTCTGGCTAAAATGACAACTGGCCTCCACACTGACACTGTTTCAACTTGTTCTTTTTTTCAATCCACATGGGATTTATTTAGCATTTTAAGGAAAGATTAACTAACCAGGCTTTATGAAATGTCCTTTTATGTGAAAAGCAGATTAATGTGAGGATGGATGAGGGAGATTCTACCTTCAGTCACTTCAGTGCAGCAGCTCTCTGACATTGCACAAAGCAATAAGTGGTGTTTGTTTTGCCAGCTGAACAGGTGATAATTTAGCTTGATTCTCATTAGTGACATTTCTCAGTAGCTAGGACTACAAAGCAAATGGTCCTTGGATAAGTTGTCTCAGAAATGACTTCAGCACTATAGTTTTGTATTTATTTAATGATGTAAAGAAGTACAGTCATTATAATGCAGAAAGTGTTTCAGTTTCAACAGCAAAAGTTGTATTGGATGAGGAAGTTGGGATTGATATTAGGTACTTATTTCCCTGCAACATCTTATTCACTAAGAGCAAGAGTTTAATGGAATCAGTTTCTCAAGCTCCATGATCTTTTCCCCAACACTGAGTTCTTCTATCTGAATACTGAACTATGCAATGAATGTTGAATTGAAGGCTTATAATACCTTATAATGATATCAAGCTCCTAAAAAGAGATGGCACAAAAGAAAACAATATTTGTTGTTTCTTAAGTGAAATAAAATTATATTGAAAATATTTTGTCTTATGTTTAGTTAATGAGTATAGGGAGGGGGGACAAATTCTCTAACTGTGAAGCTGTAGATGAGGCTGTAAGCTTCTCTTCTGAAAATATTCAGTGTTATAGAACATAAATCATTAGGTCAAAAGAAGTTGGAGGAAAGGGAGTATGTAACAAACCTGAGCATGAGAATAGTAGTCTCCAGCTTAATCTTTGCTTGAAAGGTTACTTGAGACTTCTTGATTCTACAAAACAGAGAAATGTGGTTTATCTGAAAGTGTGGGGGCTGTCAGAAAGCTGCTGATTAGTGTTTCTAATGTGATGATACTGGGAAGACACGGAGGCCAGCGTTCATTCATGGCTGAGGTGCCTGCGCAGGTCCAGCGTGAAACCTCTCATTGATGCTGTGAAGCCTGACTAACTGGCCTCTCAATAAGAGACAACACAAAGACTGCAGATATGTTTGATAAATCAGTGATATAGTTTGATATCATTGGTATCCCACCCGCAGTGATGGTGTGTGATTACAACTTGCTCAGGAAAAGGTGCTCTATCAACTAGGAAAGGGCCAAGTAGTAAGCATCATAAAAAATAACAACACACTCCCTGCTTCATGTTGTGACACGGCTTCAGGGACTGTGAGGTTTTGACACTTGGCAGTTTCATCTTCCCAATAAAATTACCAATAATGTTCCTGAGTTACGGATCCCACACAGCTCTTCTGTGATAAATAAGCTTTCGAGGAGCTGTAGCCGTGTTGTGCGGTGCAGCCAGGGTGGCAGGACCAACCCTCAGGCCGCGGGAATTCCTGAAAGCACCCAATCAGCAAAAAATGAGTAAAAAGTTATTTAGCTGTATTAAATATCCGCAGTCTTTTCAGTGACTTAAAGGCTTAAATCACAGTTGCTGCGTCTGTGAATTAATAACCCTCAAAGCGGCGGAGGCGACAGGTGCGGCCGGGCCTGGCCAAGTGCCGCCCCTCAGCCGCCGGGCCTGGCCGAGTGCCGCCGCTCGGCCGCCGGGTCCGGCAGCGGCCGCAATCCTGTCCGGTCCCGTCCCATCTCATCCCAACCCGGTTCCGCTCGGTCCTGGCGATCCCTCCCCCGAAG